GTCTCTTTAGTGGAGTTTTGTGTAGTCTTCGGTATAGAGTTTGTGTTTCTATGGGGTTCTACCCCTTTGGTTGTCTATAATTTTAAGAGGGGTTGATCCAAATCTTGTTTTGGTTTTACTGGTGTCATTTGACAATTTGGATGTACTCTTTTTTGCAATTATTGATATGTTTATCATTTAAAAAAAAAAATCTAACATGTAGTAGTACGTAATATATTAAATCATATTAATAAATTACATGTGGGTTACATGAATACATTCTTTAGTAAACTGATTTATTGAAAATAGAGTATTTACATTTCACACTATATAAAATTAAATTAACATGTGTAAATGCACGAAAAAACAATTTTTCAAAAATATTTAGTACTTAGTCAATTAACATATGTAAAAAGAACCTCTAATGAAATTGATTCGGTAAAGAAAAAACAAAGCATAGAATCACCAAAAATCATGTTATTCTTGAAAATCATGTTCAAAGGACATCTCAAGTGTTAAACGTAATTCTTAAAACATTAAATAAAATTATATACTTTAAAGAGGATCTCTATAACACACTCGACTGCTAAAAGAGAAGCAAGAAATTCCATCAATTAGTCGAATGATTCGTACAACTAATAAATTCATACATGTTTCGACAATGACAATATTTCATATTATTATTATTCAATTTAATCAACGCGACTTTAGATAAAAAGGAAGCAATAGTGAAATTCGTATGTGAAATGGAAATGCATACACGAGTTTCGCTTCATCTTATCTCACACGCCTTATCAAAAAGAAAGATAAATCGAACGGCTGAGGCGCACTCCAAGACCCGGTCTCGACTCAGTACAACACACTTCGATTTCGAGTCGCGGTTCGTGCCGTTCAGCCGTCGATTACGGAAGACCCTGTGGGCCCCACACCACCTTTCAAACACAAAAACACACCACATAACATAACACCACCCAAACTCACTCAGCTCATAACAATTATTACTCTCTCTCTCTCTCACAATCCCATTTTCTCTCTCTAGAATTCTTCTTCTTTCTCTCTCTCTCCTCACCGTCCATGGCGTCCGCGCGGGAGGGCCACTACCGGGGCGTCCGGAAGCGGCCGTGGGGCCGGTACGCGGCGGAGATCCGCGACCCTTGGAAGAAGACGCGCGTGTGGCTCGGCACCTTCGACACCCCCGAGGAGGCCGCCATGGCCTACGACGGCGCCGCCAGGTCCCTCCGCGGCGCCAAGGCCAAGACCAACTTCCCCGCCCCGCCGCCGCCGTCGCTCGACCTCAACCTCCCGTCCGACCACCGCTTCTTCCCGCCGCCGCCTCCGCCGCCGGGAAGGCTCACCATCACCGACTTTCTCCACACCGCCGTGCTCGGTGACGTTCCGGCCCGTCAGTTTGCCGGTGGAGGTCAGGCGGTCGCCGGCGCCGCGGCGCCGGCCGACGGCGACGCCTCCGCGGCGAGGTACTTCGGGATCGTGAGGCGCGGCTTGCCCATAGACCTCAACGAACCTCCGCCCCTCTGGATGTAGAGCATTCCCCCTCAATTTATTTTCCTCGAGATGTTGATGGTTTTCGACGGCGGAGATTTTCTCAACTCGTTTAGATCAGATAAAAAGGTTAATATCATTATCGCCTGTATATATTCGTTTAGTTTTTTCCCGAGATCATTAGTTTGAGTTTAAGGATCTTTCCTTTATTTCTCTAATCCACGGCGTAGATTTTTGCTGCGGTTTTCAGCCTTGAAATCCATGCATGTAGCTTTGATATTGCTAGCTTTTATCAGTTTATGATTTAGAGTTATTTACATTTTAATTATCTTGTTAGATGGGTGTTTTTCTTTCAATGATCATCGATTTAATCTTAACCTAACGACTAACCTGTGTGTTGTCTTGCTAATCAGATACAATCATGTCTCTAATTTTTCTTCTTTCTAGCGAGATTGAGTATTATTTGTCTCACGCGCCGACATGACATGAGTGGTTGGGGTATTTAGAATTTGAGAGAGAGAGAAGGAATTTATTATTTTAGTTAAATTATTGTATTTTTGTAGTAAGAGTGGGAAAAATGACGGGGGAAGTAAGCGTGTGGCAGATTGATTAAGAGAAAGTACTGATAAAATTCCGGTGTGATTTTGCATATAATTTTCATAATGAGGATTAATAAATAGTACAAGGTACTTTGGGACCTGGTGACTGCTTTTACAGCATACGGCTTTGTATGAAAAATGATAAAAAGTATATTCAATTTTTGCGGTTGGATATTTTGGACGGATTAGGCTCCGTTTCACGTGGGCTTGAGCGTCTCAAGGAAGTGCCTCGATTTGACCCTTCAAGTATATATCTTTTCATTTTTTCCTTTAAGAATCGTGTTTGCAAATTTTTTCAAAATTTCAAATATAATAAAACTAAATGGATCGCTAAAAGGGTGGTAGTTTATCGATTCTAACTAGTTTTATTTGATTTGTTTTTTTAATTATAGTTAATTTTAAAAGAATAGTTGTTATTGAATATGTTAAAATAATATTTAAATAAAATAATTAAAGTTGATTTGATATAAAGTAGGAGAAAAATGATTGGAATGATAGTTAGTTAAAATTATGTGAGTGGATGAATAGTGACTTAAAGTTGATGTGATGTGTAATAATGATTGAGTGATATTATTTAATTCTATTGATAATATGGGAGATAGTGGGGTTGAGTTAAAGTTAAGTTAAATTTGAGCTTTGATTAGTTTTTTTACTATACGATTCATAAGCAATCGCCCATAAAGAGTTAATTTGAATTTTATCGAAGACAATATGTTTACTAGTTAAATTTATTGAAAGAGGTATATTCATCTCAACAAAATCAATATATTTTGTAGTCAAATTTATTAGAAGAGGTATATTATCCCACATGGCGGAAAATTTTAATATATGGTATTTTTTATTTCTATTTTATATGTGGATAATGGAAAAACGAACTAAAGACGGACTAAAAAGAATCTCAACCGTCGAATTACCCCAATACGTGAGAAATGGTATGAGAAATATTATCTAGATAAACAAACTGTATTTTAGATAATATATAAAAGATATCATATACACGATGAGACAAATTCAATATAGGTCACTCGATAGATATGGATGTCGAGTGATGCCAAAAGCATCAGAAAGAGAGCAACAATTTTGTAAATATTTATTGCCCATGAGACTTTTAAACAATTGAATATGATGTGCAATTCCTCCTTGAACCGGCTTCATGTTGACATCGAACCGATTTGATCTCTTGAATATCCTACAAAACATCCGGGGATATTCCAATCGGTATACATTTGGCGACCAAATCAGCTTTCAGAGTATGAAAGGTAATAAGTGTGTATATATTAAAAAACAATAGAGAGAAGACTATCCTTTTAAACCTGAGCCGTTTTTACGATAAGATTTTACCTTGTTGCCCATGGTTTGTCTGTTCATGTTGCTCGGGTACCTTGTTGCCCAAGATTTTCCTGAAGCGTGATCATCATTTATTCCGGCTGTAGTACGCGTAAAGTCTCCCCCCGTGTCTGCGTCTTCAAAGAGATGGATCGGCCCTAGGAACAGATGCTGGCTCTGCTCCTTTCTGAGCTTGAGCTGATTCCTGAACAGAATAACAAGTTTTTGACGCGCTTAACACGTGCGATTCGGATAGTTGCTTTAGTTGGATATATTTCCCTGAGTTGGGGCACCCGGGTGAGCAATAGTTCAAGGAGTTGAGAAGCCTGGATAGTACGGCCCGGGATCATAGAAGAAAGACTCGTAGTCAGTTCAAGAAGAAGGGAACGAAGTGAAGCGAAGTGAAGTCATAAATTTGAGTTCTTGAGCTGATCGAATGTCTACACGAAATTCACCCAATTTTATCCTCAAGACTATCCAGAATCTCCCTTGATAACCCTCCACGCTATCCGTAAAGTCTGTTAAACCAACCTCCTTATAATAAATTGTCCATATGTCGATAACACCCTTACACTGTCATGAGGTAATCCAAGATGCACGAGCTATCAAGAGGTCACCAACTTCACGTTGCTAGATCCATGAGCTATAAAGAGGTTGCTAATTCTACGAGCTATCAAGAGGTCACTACCTTCGTAACACCTAGGGGTTGCTAACTTCTTTATGAGTTGTCTGGAGGTCTCAATGTCGTTTTCAAGCTATAAGGCCTCGTGATCGTTCCAGTTGAGCTACCTAAGAAAAAAATATCCTGAGCTACCTAAGAGTCAGGTTCATGTTGAGTAGTAATTTGTAGGATAATTGGTAACCGAGCTACCCAGACTCGGATCGTTTTCTAAGGAAGGCTATTCAGAACTTTGTTCGATAATAGTTATCCAAAATCACAAAACGAGAAAGCAAAGGCCTAAACATTCTAATTAATGAGGATGAGGTTGCATAATGTTAAGCTAAGCTAGGATTTAAGAGCAATTTAAAGCAAGCAAGCAAAACAAGAGCTAGACAAGAGAATATGGAAATTAAACTACTGAAGTCTCTACTACCATCAAAATAAAATGCAAAAAACTAAAGGAAATATGCAAACCCTAAGCTCTATGTGATTAACACTAGCTTTCTTTACCTAAATGATTAAGCCTTAATTAAGGTCTCAACCTTTAAAACTAGATAAGTAAGTATTGAACTGCTATATTCAGTTAGGCAAGGAATAAAAACAAAAGTCTCCAAACTTTCACCCATTCATAGAGCAAACACCCAAATTTACTTTGAAAAACATCATAAGAAAAAATGAGGCAAACACGAGGTAATAAGGCTAGAAGCTAGTACTCACTCCTCTATCACGTGCTAGACGAGAATCGGAACAAAAAGCTTGAAACTTGAATAAAAATGATATTTTCGGAAATTCGCCGAAAAATGATGTCATAGAACTCCAATCATAAAATAGAGAGAAAACTAAAAAGGAACTTTTCTCAAGTGGAAAAGAAAATAAAATGAGGTGGATACCCAAATACAAAACACTAAAGTCCGTTATTACTCTCAGCCAAAACTCACACTGATTTCGCGCGCAATTAAAATTTTGCACTCGCCCAATTTCCGTCCGGACGAAATCTGGGCGAGTGCCATCCAATCTTGGCTAGCCGACGAAATCAATGTCGCCCGGCGTAAGCCGGGCATGTGTGAGGGTCGTCGGGCGAGTGTGGAGGGGCTGCGGGCGAGTCAAGGCCGCGCGGCGAAAGCTGGGCGAGTGTTAGCTTCCTAGGCACGCGGGCGCGCGGGCGAATGGCAGCAGGCGGCATCTTGGCCTTTGGCGAATGTTACGCCAGGTGAGAGCTTAGGACTCGGTGGGCTCTTTGAAAATGGCACACGAACCTCGGAAAACTCTCAAGTTAGTCGGGCCTCGATGGGATCTCTCGGGTCTCTTTCATCGATCTCGGACTCCATGAGAATTTTTGCTAAACATGCTCGGAAATAAACGGAGATGACGTGCTCGGGATTCGGCTCGGTTCCTCCTCTTTCAAACTCGAGCAAACGGACCTATAAAAAACACAAAAGACACAGAAAAGTACACCAAAAACACAAATACAAATAAAAGCACGCTCCGAATAATGCAGGTTCAGATATATGATAGGTGAAAAGACAAATGATAGGCGTAAAAAAGACGGTGGGTGGGGGGACCAAATTGATCTGTACCCATAAAATTGGTGGTGACTGCGATTTTTAGTGATCAGGTCAATGGAGGCGTCATTATTATCTCCGGCGGGGATTGGTCGGAGCATATTTTATCCGGCACACACGTATTGCGGGTCGGGTCAAATACTTTTCAATCGCTGTCACCTCTTTCTCTGTCATCCTCGGAATCTGTTGGCTCCTCAACGCTTTGCACTGCACATCTTTTTTTTCCTATATTAAATAGTCCTATTTCTTTGACTAAACCGAAACTCGAAATGATGGGAATTAAATGAAAGAATGTCCTATTTATAATACTATTACCTTTTATCTCAAAATTGTATTTTGAACAACTTTGTCATAATTTAAAGTTACAAAAGATAGATTTTATTTTTTATCACCAAAATGCTTCATATTTATGATGAATAAAAATAAACATATAAGTTGTTTTGTATTATCAATATTGATTTTAAATATAGTCACCAGTGTGTACATTTAATATTGGCATACATGTTCCGTATGTAGTCACTATCTTTATATATTTTATGTTATACAATGACCATGCATTATAGAACGGTTAAATTTTAAATAACAGGGAAGTTTTTATAAATTTTAAGTATTAAATCTATTTTTTATATAAATAATATGTAACTTTCTCATATATGAATTTATTTATTTATATACATGATTACGTAGTTTTAATACATAAAAGCTTAATATATGTAACATGTGATTGATGGTCAATCAATATAAAATTGGTAAAATTTGTCAGATATATTAAAATAACTTAGTGATGAAAGTCACTTTGAGATGCAAGAAGTCTCGAGTAAGAGGTCTTTTTGGGTTCTAGTCCCACTCTAGAAAAAAATTAATAAACATTTTGTGTTAAGTGGTGGATTGTGC